TGCATTTCAACCGACGTGTGCCTAAATGTTTGTGACCGCATATTAACGATATCTCCAGCGTATCGTTATATGATATCATAAATTCTGGTCAATTAAATAACATTAATTAATTATAATTAAAAGTATTTTTATGTGTATTTTTAAAGTACAGTGAAAGCTCGATAGAGTAAAGCTCGATAAAGTGTTTTTTCGATATAGTGTCCAAAATATTTTTGTTTGGCGGCCACTGTATACCTGTAATGCTAATTAAGCTCGATATAGTGACTCTCAATATAGTGTATAACATTTTTGTATTTTTTGCACAAATAAATATAGTTTTCCTTTTTTACAAAAAAATTATTGTCAATTATGTTTAATTTTTAATAATGTTAAAAATATTTATTAATTATGTACACTAATACCCGGTATAGTGAAGTACAGTGTGTATGGATTTTTCCAGTGAACAATCAATAAATCATTTGTCACTCCAATTGATACGTGTATTCTCTGTGTTTCACTTACGGCCGACTCTAGCAGTATATAAATCCTCTCATTTCTCTGTTAAATAACAATTTATTAGTTATTATTTGCTTTAAAAACAGGTGCAAAAACACTTTTTAAACCTACTATGATAAACTAAATGACTATAGTCAACAAAAAAACGCGTTTTAGAGTTTTATTCACAGAAAAAATTATAAAAATTTATTTCTAATTCATTGTTACAAATATTAAAGTTGTGTTCAAAACAATGAATTAAACATTACTTTATCTAAAGTTTAGTTTTTTTTGTGAAGAAAGCTCTAAAACGCGTTTTTTTGTTGACTATATAAATGACTTACAGTATTTCTATTACTACAATGCAATGTTTTTAAACAAAAATATTTTCAAAACGTATAAACCATAAAATATTATTTATTATTTATTTAATTATTTATAAAATCATATTATATTTAAAACTTCTAAATAACTAAACTAATATAACAAGCACAAAACAAATATATTATTTACCGTGTGTATTGTATCGGTGGACAATTCAAACTGTGGTGCTATGGATATAAAATTCTCGTACCGTTTTTTGGACACATTGAGCACCCGATGGTCTTTATAGCGGTTCAGATCCAGTATATTAGACAAACACTTGACTGTATTAATCATAAACTGTTTGACATCGGTCTGAGTGGCCACCAGTCGATGGCAGCGGCGGTAACCGCACAGCAATCTCTTGTGACCATCACTCACATCGGTCTCAAGACAGTCGCAAAACATGATCAAACATTTTGCCGGATTTATCGATTCGGTCAATGCGTACATCCTATGCGACAACAGTTGGATTGTATGCAAAAACTCTTTGCTAATCAATAGTATGAAAGCGTTGTATCGCGGGATCTGTTGGTGGAAGTGGTCGTAATCTTCGTCCAAGTGTTCCGCCTGTTTGTGATGGATATTCAACGGGAATTCAATCATTTGCGAAAACTCTTCGGCCAGATATCGGTCCCATTCCCGGCCGTCCGACGCGTACAGCACTACGATCTCCGGTATAATGAATGATAACATTTTATGTAACACTAGTTTTATATGTTTTTTATTCCTGTATTATTATTACTGCTATTTTGTGTACACTTTTCACAATTATAATGAATTATTATTGTTTTTTCCACAAATGGTTTTGTTTCTCAGAAATATATTTCTAGTTTTTATGTGTTTTTGTGATTGTAATGTAAAACACATTTTAAAAGTGATATTAATTTTACTTTTATATATTTTTTTTGTTAAAAAAGTTTTTATTCTACCATATTGTTTGCACAGTTTTGTTGATTCACTTGTTATGTTAATTGAATTGTATTCTCTCTCTCTCTCTC